CTGCTTGCTGCCGCCGCGGGCGCTGCCCGGGCCGGGGGTCTGTGCCCGTGCGGGCCCACTAGCAGGGGGCACCCTGAGCCGGGAGGGGACCCGTCCCCCAGGGATGCCCCACTGGGGGGCTGGGCCAGAGGCCAGGAATGCGGGGCCCGCATGCAGCCAGCCGAGGCCCCGGCGGGGTCAGCCGTGTGGCCAGTGCGCACCTGGGCCAGACGGGCTGGCGGTGCTGGCGCTGACGGGGCTGCGCGTGACCCCGGGCGCGGCCTGGGCACCCCGGCCGGCCGACTGTGGGCGGGCCACCCAGCTCTCACGGCACCCTCCGATGCCCAGAGCCAGGACTGCATCACGGGGGCCTTGGCCTGCACCAAGATCCTGAAGGAGCTGGCCAAGGAGGAGACGGACACGGACAGCCAGAAGCAGCTGGAGACGCTGGCCGAGGAGTACGAGGACCGGGCCATGGGTGAGCCGGCTCCGCCTCCCTGGCCCGCCCTGCCGGCCCGCCCCGCCCCCGCCCCGCCCCCCGCCTTGCCAGCAGCCTGGCCACGGCCTGCGTCCCCCAGGGGTGCTCACCGAGTGCTACCGGAGCGACGAGAACGCAGCACAGAAGCTGCTCACCCACGAGTCAGAGACCTGGGGCTCGACCACTTGCCTACAGCTCGCCCAGGAGGCTGAGGACATGGACTTTATGTCCCACGGGGGCGTCCAGGTGACCCTCCGAGGGCAGCGCCCTGTCGCGGCCTGCTGGCGCACAGACGTGGCCTCGGGACCCAGGGCCGCCCAGCCCACCGGCCGCTCACGCGCCGCGGTCCCCTCCTGGCCCGTGGCCTCGGCCTGCCCCGCCCCGCCGGGGGTGGGGGCCAGGGGTGGGGGGAGAGCGGAAAGGCGGGTCCTAAGGCCGAAGCCCTGCTGCAGCCAGCTTGCCCCTGCCTGTCCCAATGGCTGTGCCCTCTCCCTCGCAGGCGCCACCCCCCGGGGGCGGGGCCCGGGGTGGTGCCAAGTCTGAGCCAGACTCCCGCCCGCAGGCCTTCCTGACCCGGGAGTGGTGGGGCCAGCTCTGTGTGGACAACACGCTCTGGAAGGTGCTGCTGTGCGTGGTGTTCGTCCCGCTGCTCTACACCGGCCTCGTGGCCTTCAGGTCCGCGGGGCGCCCAGCAGCGGGCTGGGCCGGAGCCGCCTCAGGGCCCCGGAGGCCTGGGGTCCTTGCCGCTGGACCCCAGCGCTTGCGATGTGCTTGAGGAGCAGGCAGGGTGCCCCTGTGCCAGCACCCAGGGCCTGCTGGGCGCCCCTCTCCACCCCCTCCCCACCCAGTCACACTCACCCGCCCTCCGGCCTGCAGAGATTGTGTGGCCGTGTCCTCACCATCAACGGAAATCAGGGCCAGAATGGCCCTTAGTGCCCCGACGAGGGGCCGCCGCTGCGCAGAGGCTCCAGGCCGGCCCCGCGGGGGCGCTGTGGCGCGGCCCTGACCCTGGCTCCCGCAGGAAGGGCCGGCCGAGTGCACGCGCCTTCCTCAGCGCCCCGGTGGTGGCCTTCTACCTGAACACGCTGACCTACCTCGCCTTCCTCTGCCTCTTCGCCTACGTGCTCATGATGGACTTCCAGCCCAGGCCCTCCTGGTGCGAGTGGCTCGTCTACCTCTGGCTCTTCTCGCTGGGCTGCGAGGAGCTGCGGCAGGTGCGCCCTCCCCGGGCCCCGCCCTCCCCGGGCCCCGCCCTCCCCGGGCCCCGCCCTCCCCGGCCGCGGCGCCCGAGGCCCAGGCGAGCAGACAGCGCCGTGGGGGCGGGCCCAGTGATGTCATGTGGGCCCCCTCTGCGCCCCGTGGCCGATGTGGC